GTCTACAATAAAATGTTGTATTCTCCACGTTTGAAATATGCATTTCGCATATCTGTGCTGGGAGAAAGATTTCTGCCACCGCCAAAACCGTGGATAACAATCTGAAAGAAAAATATTTAGAATAATGCTTATGTGCCAAAAAGCAAATATTAGCAATTTTTAGAACTTAGTTTTGGGATAACACAATATTAGAAAGTATACTGATTGTAATTCGAAAATGAAGGATTTTTATAAAAACTACACAAATACCGGTAGATACTTGATCATCACATAATTCAACTTATGGCTTTAATTATAACAGGATGAACCATTTAACAGTACATCATTTATGAACAATAAAATTGACCCAAAATTTATGAAATTATTTAAATTGGTATTCATATATCATAGCGGTAATTATATAATTTTAAATGAAAATTATAGCAATATTTAAAAGTACATTCCAGCACAAATATATTTGAAAGAGAATTTTATGCATAAATGTGAAATGTGCGTCATTATTGCGTGTGGTTTATTATAATCCAATGCACTTCATATATATATGGTTTCAACATCTATAACAATACAGTAATAAAAGCCGTAACTCAAATGAAGAATAAAATTATTAGAAACTCTATAAGCAATCTATATAATAGTCCTTGCACAATACTTTTCATCAAGAACTACCATTTCTAACAATATTGATTGACGTGTTATATGTTCTACAAGATGTATTGGATTCAATCACAGATTTCCGTATAATTTATTCGTATTGATTGATAATAGAGGAAAGTTCAAGAAACTGTATAATTTGATTGCATGTAGGTGTACGTGCTCAATCATAATGGATAATAATAATTTCTGATTGTTGCTAAAATTGAGGTAGAAAAAAATATGTCTTTTACATTCTTCTTACTTTACCTTGACAGGGTGTGTAGGATTGAAATGTGAGTTGGTAAGTGAATTTTTATCTAAAACGTTGATGAATTCTGGTTCTTGCTGGGTGGACCTTGTGTAAAGATACATCTGAATTCGAGGATGAGGACATGTGAACGGTGGTTCCAGACATGAAGTCGTGTTGAAGAGATCTCGTATAGATTGAGCTTTCTGAGGCGTTTCTGGCTTGGAAGCTGGTTGCTGAGATGCAGGCGGTTTTTGCTGTCTTTGTTGCCTTTGGCAGTCTAGATATAAAATATTAAATTGACAGTAAAGTTGGAAAATTAATTAAAAGTAAATACTTTTATCAGCAATTCATCGAATTGTGCTAGTTGTTTCTAAATAGTATTACATAATATACGTGAACACACAAACATTTATACCCACACACACACATACATATATTTTTCCTAAGGTATGCCAAATGTTCTGAAGTCCTGAGACGCTAAGATATGTAAATATTTTCATTTTCGATTTTTTTTTTTGAGATAACCATACTACTTAACGGAAAGCTAATAAATATTTTCAATTTATTCTAAACACAATGAAAGTGTATATATAAGAATAACAAGTATACAAGTCCATAAACTTCTTCATGAATTAAAATCAGTTACATTGAGATTTTCTTCCTGTCAGTTTCAAGATAAATGTGACACGCGATTCAAAACGTGTCACTTAAGTTATTGTTAGAAAAATGATAAAATGCCATGGAAAACATGATTTTATATAAAAAGTCACTTCTGGAATTGTAGGTTTTCTTTGAATGATTGCTGAGGATAACTGGCAAATATATTGCTATTGTTGCTGTAATTATGGAATATGTAATTATGTGTTTCAATATTATTTTATTTTTATTTATAAATTATTTTATAAAGTGGAAATAAAAAATATCTTACACATCAACTACAAACATTTGGGCAAAACGTAGTATCTTTATATGTTTTAAATTGTTTTTATTTTAAAATAATATTTCAGCGGTCAAAACCAGTCTCTAGTTACCTCACAGGAGTTTAATTATAATTTAATTTCTATAATTTTGCAAAGCTGATGTACAATTTTTTTTTAAATATTAAAGAAATAATTATGATGAGTATAAATGGTTTTAGAACCTCACTTCATATTTATTTTATCAGTAGTTTGGTGATAAATCGCTCTAACTTACTTCTAATGTATGTCCTATATGTCAAGAATCTTAGAAATAAGTATTATCTAGTTTAAGTTAACTTTCAAGAATATTTATTCAATGGTATATGCAAGTCAAGTTGGCGCCAAAAGTTTCTATATAAAAAATATGCGTGCAAGTAACTACTTATGCAAGACTAATTATTTATAATAACAAACCTCATTGACCCCAAAAACTTATGACATGGTAATACGGTGCATTATGGCGTTTTTATTATTCCTAATTAAATAAACAATAGGTAAATTTAATATAAATATAAAAATAAAAAAGGCACATGAACAGGTAAAGTTGCTTGAAAATAGTGTAGATGTTATCAGCAACAAACAACAAATGTTCATTAATGTTGGACAAATTAATTATTAAAAGTTATTATTATCATTATTAATTTGTTAAAGACGTTCATATCAGAAAGAAATATAGAATTTCAATCTATTACTGATTTGCTCTATCAATTACCATAATTTTATAATTTTTCACATAAAACAGTATAATAATATAATAAATTTATTCTTCAATGCCAAACATCATCAGGTGCAAAAAACTCATTTTATTGCATGTTTGTTGATAAGTTGTTAGAAAAAGAGCATGCGGATATTATTTTAATAGACGCTAAACCTGACCTCTCACAAAACGAACATCGATGTAATTTACAAGCTTTTTATGTATGACATAATTAGTTTAGCATTGACATATATCAATACTCGTATCGGTCGTTGCTCAAAGATGCATTTCAATTTGAATACAATTTGAATGCCAAATTTGAGGATTGGAGGTTGGTTGAAATTGATTATTGTTGAATAATCCAATAATGAAAATGAAAACTAGGGGGAATTTATTAAGAGACAATACGCCAAATTAATATTAACTAAAATATAATTATTAATTTCTACGTTTTGTCAAATGTGTGTCATCATTCAGCGAATAAAAATTTTAAAAAAATTTGGGAACACAAAAGTACTATCACATTATTATGGCAAGTTTGGGACTTTGAAATTTTTGAAAAAAAATTGAATTTTTTAAGAAAAATTTTTTTTTAATCTTGAATTTTTTTTCAAAATTATGATTTTCAAATATAGAAGCTCGTGAGCGTTGCCTCACAGTCTATAGGTTAAACATCATAAATTTAATTATTTACTTTTTACATTTGATCTAAAAAACCGCTGTATCTGCCTTCCTAAAAATTTAACGCACTCTTTTATTTCATCAATAGAATTAAATTTTTTTTTAAATCATTTGCTAATTATGATAGATTAGATTCAAATAACAAAATGATATTCCGATCTCCCAAAAATAAATTACATTTAATAGCGAGTTTTTTGGCACTTTTTGAACTGTATCTTTGAAATGACTAAACCTGTCTAGACCAAAAACTAATCAGCACGTCTTCTTCTAATAGGAATCATTCAAAACCGTTTGATCTTAGTTTCTCGAAATTGTTGACAAAAATTTGTATCCGCACATACATACTACACACACACACATACAAAAACCTGTTCCACATTGAAATCGATTAACTTCATATCCAGGATCTGAAGAAAATTTTGAAATAGTCAATAATTGCCCAAGTAGATTTTACAAAGTACTTCGTGTTTTGAAGATGAGTTTTTTTAACCTCGCAATTAAAGCATCTAGAGGCTTTAAAACACGTATGCAAATTTAATAGCAATCAATAACCAAAAATCGATTTCTTTCTCTCTCGATTACAATTTTTTGTATCCATTTCCATTATATAACATTCATAACTTTTTTTTCGATGAAACCGTTAAATAATGTGTAAATTGATGTTTGAATTGTAAATATGTGTTAAACTTTCTCCGTTCATATGAACATACGTGTGTGCGCTACTAAACGCTCAAAAATGTAATTACTATAATTCGCGTACCTCTGTCATGGAGAGAGTTTTGGAATAGAAATTATTTCAATAAAAACGTATTATTTTGATTTGATAATGATCTATTTTATAATAGTGGAATAATAATAATTTTATGATTGTGTAATAAATTCTTAATGAGAAAGATTACATGATTAGATCGTAATTGAATAAATTTAATTACAAAATTGCTAATATGTTTTTATAATGAATGGTGTACATTTTTAATGAGTATTTATAATAATTAAAAATGTTGTTTTAACATGTATAATACATTTTTGAAAAATTAGTGAATTTTATTTTAATGTTTATTAACACCAAATTTGAATAGTATGATTTTTATTTAAAAAAATTAATTTAAATATGTTTTGATGTTACTAAATTGAAAAATGTAAAACGCAATATCATTAATATACCAATTAATAGTAATTAACATGTTTTATAAATTTTGTTTAGTAAATAATTTAATTTTATTATTTATTAACACTAAATTTGGATGCCAGAATTTTTATTTAATAATTGTAGATTATTTAAATCGTTAAATAATCTACATTGAACTGAACTCATTTAAATTTGTAGATTAATTATATAAATAATCAAAGTGCAATATTTCCAATGTATTAATTAATTAATTTTTATATATTGTGAATATGTAGTTGGATTAGGTGTGGCTTATTAGAAACAAAATATAAAATGTTTTTAATTTTTATTGGTATTTTAAAAAAGTCATCACATACTCTTTTTTCATTTTCAAATATTATATTGCCTAATTAAAGATAACTATATAATTTTTTTCTTTAATTTTACGTAATTATTGATCATTATAATGCTTCTTGTACCTTCTATGCTTCTTCACGTTTTGCTTTATGAATTATGTCGTAAAAAGCAATATACATTATTATTTATTATTACATGTATAAAAATAAAAGTAAAAATTGATTGTCTATAATGTCACATGTCAATATGTCTAAATATTACAAGTCATTCTTGTTTTCGATGAAAAATTATGCAGTACTTGCGAAATTTTGTCACTCTTGATGGAATTTTAAAAATTATACATAGTTTGTTAATTTATTATACATTATTGATGTTGGAATTTATTCACTTATCATGTGATATAGATTTTTATTGAAATTGGCTGTGTAAAATATTTATGCTCCCAATTTATTGATTAATTAATTTATTTATTTGAATACATTTATTAATTGAAATATATTTATGGTACTGAAATATGAGCAATCACAATTGATAAAAAAATTGGTTTTTAATATTATTTTTGAAAATTAAATTGAGTAAATTGTATTAGTTATAATACTATTTAATTAAAATGATTTTAATGTTTATTAATTAGATTTTTAAAATATAAATCCATAAAAACTTTGTCAGAAAATAGTCGAAAATTTATTTATCTATTTGTTACATACATAATTTTATTTATAATAGACCAGGTTGTTTTTTGTTGAATTATTTATATAGTTTAGCTTGAAAATTGTGCAACAATGTATATAAATATGCAGAGTAAAAATTCTACGAAATCAAACATTTCAACATAAAAAATGTTAAATAAAGGCGTGTGAAAATTTAGTGTTTTGTTACGATTTACTCAGAAAACTAACATAAAACTTAATACAAAAGAAATGAAACAAAAAAAATGGTTAGGAGAATGGAATCATAATTTTGGTCTTCATATGTTTCTTGTTATATTTTTAAATATAATTTTTGTGTAAAAAGTCAATTTTCAAAATTTGAAATTTTCTGATAAATTATGAAGTGGAAAAATATTTAATCAAAATCTTTTGTTTGTTTTTGAAACTTACTGAAGATGAAAACATTTATACCCCCAAAATGTAGAATGATATATATGAACAATATGAAATTAAGTGGCTAATTGAATTGAAACATTTAAATATTTAAATATTATTAAATATTATATCACATTTATATGAGTTAATAAAATATAATTATATGTTATATTTTCTTTTCAATTACTACAAATCATTATAAAAATAATTCAATTATTATAATTACTAAATTTTCTTCTCAATTATTACAAACTATTGTAATTTGTAATATAAATATTACAAATTTATATAATTATCTATTATACAAATATAATTATTAAAATTATTAATACTTAATAATAATTTTTAACAAATATATTTTTCCATTTAACAATGACTAATAATAATTATATTTAACTTACCAGCCTGATCCAGAAACTGCAACATTATACACACTAAACCTAAAGCATATTTATATCTATTCATTTTGCACTAAGGTCCTGAATAGTCCTCACGAACAAAAACTACATACGCCTTGCAAATTATCCGGTCACTCACGACATAAAACAAGCACAAAACAATTCTGAACTAAAATTATACAGTTTTTACTCGAAACTAATAAAAATAAATTCATATAATTTATTGGTCCAGTCAAATATTAAAACTGATTTTCGAGTTGCGTTACACAAGAGAGAGTTGTTATGGAACTGAATGCACCAAGCGAGTGGTAACTGTCAGAGTGTGTAATCTGGCTGAAGAATGTTAAATTCTAAAGAAGAGGAGGAAGTTGATGGAATGACTAAGGATGGATGGCGGATTTGCAGAAACCAGCATTCGTTTAACACGCAAAGATTTCAAACAAGCTCTTTTTGCTTCGATTAGTAGATGTTTTCAACCGAACTTTATATTAGCATATACATACTTGTGATATGATTCCTTGGCCTAGTGTTATTAGATGCAACCCAGTGATCGACCATTGTCTATCTGATGAGATTTTTATTTTTTAGATTTCTCCAATGCTGATGATATATATATTGCAGCAATGACCCTCGAAAGACTATTTTCATTTGATATAAAAATATTGTTCTATATCTCAAGTTAAAATCTGGTATCACTACTGTTTGATACCAACTACTGGAGTAAATTCAAAAATTAGTATTGTTTATTCATTATTCCATGTTAGTTCTTATTTGTCCAATTGGTCAGCCTATCAACTATGAAATTATTATAGTTAAATTTTGAGATTAGCTAATAGAGAAATTGAATTAAATTTTATAGGTTGGAAGTTGACATCTTCTTTTAAATTTTCTTTCATTACAGTATTTTACTAATATAAAAAAATATATTTTTTTATTAAATTTGAAGTAAAGTAATTTAAATTGATATCTCACTCAAACAAAATGATTACAGAATGTAAATTGTTTGATTGAAACCTTGATTATAATTTCTGAATCATGATTAAAGAAAAGTTTAGAGATTGCTTCTGATAATGAATGCTATATTATATAATGGACAAACTATTATAATTTTCTAGCATTTGGAATTATTTTCGCCGTTCATACTATCATACGTTGAGAGTTATAAACTCTGCATTTATATAAATTTAAATTTACATTGTGGCTATTAACATTTAATGTATTACACCGTAGCATTAACTTTTCAATTAAATTAATTTCTTTGTGTTCTACTAATTAAACATGTTAACGATTGTTTCATTGTGAAAATATCAAACTAATTATTGGTAAATTAATTTCAAATTAGTTTTCTATATACTTTTACTTTTTAACTCACCCACGTTTCAAAACGTTTTCAAAAAAAAACAATTTTAAATATTTAAAAACTGTTTAAAAGGTACTAATTAAGAATCCTGCTTATTAGTTATTAGTCAAGATTTCATAATTAATAATTAATAATAATTCATAATTAACTTTGGAATAATGGACTGCCTCAAAATTTCGATTGTCACATCTTTGAAATTTCACTTACACCTATTGAAATTTCTTTGTATATAGTATAAAAAATCGATAAATATTTAAAGAAGGTTTATGGGGTTAGAATAAATAAATTAATATTAAATTATTAAACATGTAAATAAAATATTAGACATATTTATGTCTCGTAGTTCAATTCCAACTTCAATCAATATATATAAATATAAATTTTAATATTAAAAATAATCTGTATTAAATTCATTTCTATTAACATTTTTTCTAATATCTGTAACTACTCATCGTGGATTCTACAAAGTGAATCATTTGATGGGGAAGTGACGTCGTTTGGCTTGTCGTTTCCTGACATGGTGTATGGCTTCTCTTTTCACTTCTTTTGTTCCGGGTGCTCTACCCTGTCTTTTGCTGTTTTTTGGTTTTCCCAGAGCGAATGGTTTTTGGTCACTGGTTTCTACATAATATATACCTCGAGCACTAAAATACACGGTAAAATTAATTTTTGAGGTTCCCAAAATTAAGATCAACGACTATAATTAATGCACTATCACAAATTAATTCTCAGGGTTTTTAACTATAGACCTATTCATGAGTATGTTAGTCCTTCGTAACCATCAATTATGTAAAAAAATAATCTAAAGTTTAAATTAAACATAAATTAAAATTTAAGTATGTATATATAGTATGCGTGTTCATACAAGCATTAATAACAGTGAGATTAAGTTTCATAAAATATTATAGTTTAAATGACAGTAATTTATATACATGGATAAATTACATAAACATTTTCAACATGTTATTTGAGTTGTTACAATTAATAGATATTCATAGAAAGCTTGAAATGAAATGCAAAATTAGACATTGGCATATTAGTCATATATTGGTGTATTACTCATATTTATATAAACTTATATTTGGTATATATATATATATATATATATATATATATATATAATATATTAACTTATATATATATATATATATATATATATTTAATTTAGATATCAAAGTTGTATAACTTCGCTATAATTAGCCTTGGCTTCCAGCATATTATGTAGCATCACAAGGTAAATTAAATACTTAGACATTTTGTATCTCATTCTAAGGTTAATTAATGAAGGCTTTTGAGATTTATATTATTTATTTTGGAAGCCCTCCTTGAAATTAGAAAGTCTAATGAATAAAAACAAATGTTGTTATAATCACATAATTATATATTAATCTTCCGAATGACTAATGATTATGCGGTTGGGAACCGGAATATAATTTCTTAAAATAATATATATATATATATATATATATATATATATATATAAACATGTATACATGTGTATGTGTATTAACAACGTGTATTATCTGTATTAACACAATGAATAAAACATCTGCAAATTTTTAATTCCAGTGTGAACTATACACCGACAAAAAATCATTTTTAATTTACCAATTTTCTGAGTGCCTAAAATATTATACATATCAAAATATTTCTGTGAATCCTAACTTTGCATGTAATCCTGCAAACTAAATTTTCAATTCTATTACTATTTACCAAATAAAGATGAAGTGAAAGATGATTATACATTGCAAAATCGACAAACTCAAATAAAAAATGCAAAACTTATTAGCTTTGTATTAAATTTGTTTCCAAGTAAAATAGCCTTCTCGAAATTGATGCATTTAGTTAAATAATCAATCAGAAAAATCAGGAAAATTAGGAGAATTAGGAGAATCAGAAAAATCAGGTGAATCAGGAGAATCAGGAGTATCAGGAGAATCAGGGGAATCAGGAAGATCAGCAAAATTAGGAGAATCAGGAAAATCAAGAAAATCAGAAGGATCAGAAGATTCAGGAGAACCAGGAGATTTAAAAAAATCAGACGAATCAAGAAAACCAAGAGTATCACGAGAATCAGGAGAATTAGGAGAACCAAAAGAGAATCAAAATAATCAGGAGAATCAGAAAAATTTTGCAATAGTTCCGAAACAAACTAAATAACAACAGACCCGTGAAATATGCCTACTAGATAAACCACGTAAAAAGAGGTGGTTTATATTAGAGCACACTATCTCGTAGGTGGCTTATATTGACCATTTAGCTAAAAATCGCAAAAAATCATTTTTCTGTTCTTGACCTTGTTCCAATTTTTTAGCTCGCACCGAAGCGATGTGGGCTTTTGAGATTTCTTTTATAATTATATTATTCCAACATTTATCTTAATTTTAGGTCTGCATATTGGTTTGGTTTCCGCAATATAATTGCTTAAAGTCAAGTTGAACCTTTGTGCATTGCCCTATCTTATGCGAGTATATATTTCAAAATCTTAGTATGGACATTACAAATCAAAATTATAATTAACTATTATATAATCGTATTATATATTACAGCAATTATGTTAAAATCGCTAGATTTCATACTGCCAACACAAATCATAATGTTTATTGATTTTTGAACAACAAATAAGAAATCACTCCGATGACTAACAACATTCTGCCAATCATGCATCTAATTATATATTTTCTTCTATGGCATAATAGTTTTTCAACCAAGCACTCATCGGTTGGACATGTACATCTTAACCTAGTATTTATATTCTATTTAGTTACGGATTACTAGAAGCGATTTCCTAACGTCATACTTTGCTAAGTAATTTCATTCATATTATTGCTCTCACGTTCAGTAAAAATACGCAAAAAAACGTTTGTCATGATTTGCAGAAGTTGATGGGACGTACATTTAGTATATAATTATATGTATTTGAAATTCATTCGCGTGAAATTAGTGCAGTATGAAACTAGTACAACAATTGGAATTCTTTGCATATGAAAACTGCTTTCACAAATTTTATTTAATATTGTATCAGCGAAAAGCAATTTCAAAGAACTATTTATTATGAACCGCAATTATTCGTTTGCTTTATGGGAGTTAAATCTCACTCAAGTCTGCTCGCTTCTTGGAAACAATTTCTAGAAACTTTAAAATAGAGATACCTCGATATAAAGCTTTATAAATTCAATATTTGAATCATTCTTGTCATCTCCATGATGTCAATTACAAAATGCATAAGTTCTTTACAAAAATTTCCAAAAATGTTTACAAAAGCTTTGTGGGTACATAAAAGTCTCTCCGCAGAAATTTTAAAATTGAGATACCTCCACATAAAGCTTCATGAATTCAATACTTGAATTATTATTGTCATCTCCATGATGCCAATTACAAAATGCATAGGTTCTTTACAAAAATTTCCAAAAATGTCTTCAAAAGCTTTGTGGGTACATAGAAGTCTCTCCGCATTTTAAATACACTAATATGAATGACTTATTACATAAATTCTAGGGAAATAGATCGTTATTGAACTCGGGACTAGTTTATGAGATAAATGCTCTAGATAATATATATGATCAGTCCATTTTATTCATAATTCCATTTTTATATTATAATTTTCAGAAATTATAGTGAACTTCACATTTTTATTGTGTACTTATTTTTCAACTATTATTATAATATTAAATATGTGAAATATGTTTTACGAGTATGTGATCATG